TGTCTGTAATCTTCCTTTGTTTTATCTTCATTTTGAATATATATATATATATATATATACAAATAAAGAAACAAATAAATGTATAACACTTATTTAACCTTCTTGAAATTCTTATTGCAAAATTGTACTGGTGCCATCTTATCAGGGGGCAGAAAAAACGTGGAAGTTTTAAATAAAGCCAGCTTTATGATACTATTTTGATCGGGCAATAACCTTTTATTTTTCATGTTTCAAATAATCTGTCAAATAGGGTAGATATCCATCATCAGTTTATTTGTGAAATTAAATGAAGATGCGATCACAAGCATATTCTGTATCCCCTCTGTAACTGATGTTACAGTTCAGCTGGAGTGTTTTAGGTAATGAAATAATATTAGAAAATTCACAAGAAAAGCAATGTTTGATATTTTTATGCCTAGAAAAAAGAATTGCCATATAAAAATATGAATTCAGAAAGAAAGAAATAATTTTATTAAAAATATATTCATAAAAACAAACTTAAAAGACATAACTTTTTTTTCCAGAGCATTTTTATAGCAATAAAATAATTTTCGCACTTCGTTTTTTCTGCCATAAATAATTTGTCAGTATTTGTATAATAGTACAAATTCATGGTGCTCTAGTTTTACTGATTAAACATAAATTCTAATGATTAATAAATTGTAAATTTATTTTTTATTGTTTCAGTTTGTATTGGTCTTGTTAATTATGTTCTGGAAAATTTAAATTGTTAAGAAACATGCTTGCAGAAAAATTCTGAGGTAGGTCTGCGTCTAAAGTGTCCAGATCCATACTGTCCAATTTCAATATCATGTCATTATCGACATCAGACTGAACATTTTCTTCGTTAGATGATTCTGAAGTTGGCCTCATTTGATACTCGTCCGGCGATGATTCTAAAATCGTCATCATTTGATCCTTGACTGGTGCCGTTATTGGTTTCGAGGCAGGCATCATTTGATGATTGATGGTTGGTATCATTGATTCCGGCGAAGGAATAACTGATGAATAGTTATGATCTGTAGGAGAAATTGTAACGTAGGTCGAATATGCTTGTGGTGAATGGGCCGACGTTGAGATATTAGTACGTTCAAGTTCTGGAGATAATACTGATGCTCCATAAGATTCTGATGCAAAAAATGCAGGCGCTTGTGCTATATGCGTGGAACTTGAGGCACTTACGGGAATTGATTGAAATACTGCTCCTCTAGAAGATTCTGAGGCAAAAAATGTTGGTACTTGCGATAGATTTGAACAAGTAGGGACAGATACAGGTACTGGAGGGAATGCCGATGCTCCAGAAGATTCAGATGCAAAAAATATTGGAGTTCCAGCAAATGCATCAGCAGAACCAGGAGCACCACTAACTGCAAAAAGAAAACAAAGCAATGAGAAATGTTTAAATGACACCAGAAATTTACTAAAAACAAACAATATTACCTTAAAAACCTCCAAAAATTTTACCTTAAGATTTGGAACATACCATGAAAACCAATTTCAATCTAATTTAAGACTTTTAAAATTTCTGCATTTTAACCCTCAACACATCATGCTCCAGATCGATCACATTTGTATAACGTTAGCTTACAGATTACATATATAAAATATTAAAAAGTCTAGCTTTTTTGTAAGGCTGCCTCTTGGATCAAAGATAACGTTTTATTTTAAAAATGCTAAAATTTTCTTAATTAAATCGAGAATTTCCCGTAAGATTTAAAGTATATCAATGAAGGTATCGAAAACCAGTTTCTTAATTAATTATAAACCTTTCATAACTCTTATATCTGAATTGGCACCGCTTGAAATGAATCTAAAACTTTTGCATTTAAACCTTTAACTAAATCCTCAAATAGATATAGCATTCATTTTGTATTGGTCTACAGATTAGGCAGATCAAAAATTTCACGAAATGTTTAAAAAGTATTGAAATAACCACAATTTTCGTGACGCTGTCCCTGGGACTATAATATCAAAATAATTTTTATTTTAGTAAATTAACAGATTCAAACAATGAGGCTGAACTATATCTGTTTTTCACTAACAGATGTAGTTCAGCCTCATTGGTAAAATGTCAACAACAGTTCATCTATTGTTTGCTTTTTTTCTGGTTGCTAAAGACCAAATTAACTTACAAGTGAAAGGCGAGTATGGTAAAATATGTTTAAGTGGTGCCACCTTGAACTGAAATTAAGTATTTAAAAAATCTATCTCTTATTTATGGTAATACACAGCTATAAGCTTGCCAGATGCATCGTAAAACTTTTACTAAATTTCTATAAACCTTTATTACAATATTTACAAGTTATAAAGTGATCCACTTCTATTCTTAACCTTCTCTATCAAACATAAACTGATAAACTGTTGCCATTCGAATTCATATAAGTATTAAACTAATGAATAAAATATTACAGATTATGAAGGATGACGTCATTACAAATTCTTTACGCGACAAAGCTAATCCAAAGAGCTCGTAGCACTCTTCTACAAAATACAACCTATCTCTATAACTTCTACAGTATCTGCAACTTGTATTTTGCTTTGAATTTGTATTTTTTTTTTTTTTTTTGGCTGACGTCTTACCTGATGAAGTTCCAGCTCTAAGACTATTTGTTGATTGTCTGGATAATCGAGGAATTCCAATTGCCATTTGACGTTCTGAAACGATGGTTATAATATATTTATAAAGAAAATAAAATAAAAAAATCTTTGAGTATAGTATTTTGTTATTCTTTGTCATATTATTGTAGGTTTACCTTGTGGAATGGAACCTCCACTCAGAATATTCCCTTGAAAAAGCCTCTCAAGATCAATGCGTTCTTTGACTTTTTTCCTTTTACATGCAATACCATCTGGATCTGAAAAATATTAACAAGACTCGCTGAGTAATTGTGAAAAATTTTTGTTAAAATTTTAATTTTTAAACACTAGATTTTTGTAAATGAATCCATGCATCTTTTTTTCAAACTATCCACACTCAATCAAAGTGAGGTTTTAAAATGTTGACTTTATATATAAATGTATAATAATTTATTTTTTAAAAATTTTTTGCGCATCTTTTTTTACAAATTATTACATATAATTTATGTAACGTATATGCACTATATTAATCAACTCAATTATATTTTAAATTGATTATTTGAAAAAATCATTCGCAGATAAAAATTTATATCACTCCGAAATTATAAAAACCCAAATAAATTAAAAATAAACAGGTCTGTAAGCAATTTAAAGTCATTATTTTTTTTATTGAAAAAATCAATGAACTAATTTCAGTTGTTGCTTCTTCTAAACTATTCAACAAATTTATTTGATTTTCATTCTAGGAACATAAGATTTAATAGATCAACATGATGTAAAATTTGTATTATACAAAAGGATAATTACAAAATTAGAAAATCTATCACAACAACAAATTATGAAGATTTTTTTCTTCATGGAATCAAATTTTTATATGCTTACAGCTTAAAGTTTTGATAGTTGCCTTGATTAAACTATTAGGAACACTTTTATCGAATAACTTCCAGGAAGATTAAGAACAAAGAATATTACATCAAACTAAAAAGGAATTGCTAAAGAATTGGTAAACATATTATTACTTCTAAATTATTTATTTATTTATTTAAATTTGTTTCCTTAAACGAATTCCAAAGTTCGGCCTTTAATTTTGAGTGAAAGAATTAAGTTCGTATTGGAGAAAGAACGCATGAAAAGGATTTTTAATAACAAGCAACGGAAGCTGTTAAATTTGGGAGTAAATCGGATAAAAATTGATGAAATTATTTTATGATAGTATTGCGGCTTAGCAAGAAAAGAAAGTGCACTTAGTGATAAACGCAAATAAATTCTAACTTTGCTAGTACAATGCTCAAAAAAAAAAAAAAAATGACCACCCTGAATAACTTTTGATTTAATGATCATACACATTTACTTCACATTTTAGGACTTAATGGTTGAGAGGGCGACTTCAAATATGCTAATTAATTAATTAGTGCAGATGATATTTTAAGGTACGAAATCAGACACAAAAGGTGCCTTCTCTAAAACATACCCTTTTTTCAATGGATTCCAATTTCTGATCCCCAAAATAAAGGGGGTGGCCGCAATCTGTGAAATATGGTTTTCATAGTTTGGTCAAGTCCTCATATTTTGTCATATCTCCAGAACTTTTCGAGCGAATTGAAAATGTTTTGCACACTATTACAAAACTCTCTTAACCAAAGATAATTCTGTACAGAAATAATTTTAGTACATATTTATCATCTATTCAATAAGAGACGAAAAAATTTTGAATTGTAAGGTCAACAATTTTTTACGCTATTTTAAAGTATGTAATTTTATTTGGCAAAATAGAAAATGCGAGCGAAATCGGTTGAATAATTTTTGCGAAGTCGAATTTTAAATATTCATGTGTATATATGAAGAAGATTTCAAGATATTGGGTTTCTTTATATTCCATTTCCACTGGATGTGATTTTTTTCGCATGCGAATCGAAGTCGAATCGAGAACCTGTTTGGCGGTTTTTTCACGGATATACATTTTTCTCTAATCAGATTCTCATTCACATGCGTAAGAATCGGAGGCAAAGAGAATGCTCCTATACTAGGAGAAGAGACATTGAAATATTGTATAAAATTAAACTCACGTTGATAGGTATAACAGTTTAACTTTCAGTATTCAGATTTTTTTGTGTCAAAAGTACAGTTTTGTGTTTAAATCTATTTTCGGATCTGACATAACGATTCAATTGAAAAATTATTTCCCCCATATATTTTTGCACTAAATTGAAAGAAGCCGAAACAAATTTGACAAATTTAATATTAAAAAAGAAGCTTTTACGTACAAAAAGTACAGTCTTGTAATACCTATGGATGGTTGATCGTGTAAAGCGAAGAACAGATGGTTCTAGGGGTAGAAATTTCTCCTAAGACTTTCGGGTTTTCAATTTGGATTAATTTTTATGCTTAAGCCTGAAAAAGCGTGCCATCCAATATTATTATAAAGTGTTTATCGTAGAACGCTTTTTTCCCCATTTAAATTTCAGCGAAACAAATTGCAAATGAATTCGGAAGACTCCGCAGCATGCTATGATGTTATACAAAAAATAATAAACTGCTATATTATACACTAATAAAGTCAGAAAGGGTTATCTGATAACGCTCTGATAATGTTCTGATAACGCTCAACAAATGGCTAATGGCCTTCATAATATGGCCTTGCACTTTATGTTGTGACATTAACTTTCTTAAATTTGTCTTAGGCTGATGAGCTGTTAGCATTTATAATTTACAGCAAACTCTTATGAACAGTATAACAACATGTAAACTTCCTAGAGTATTAGAGTACTTCCTAGAGACGTGTAAACTTCCGGTTTTAGGAAGTTTGTTATTGTTTACATTCATTCAACCATCCATTTACACGTTTAAAATTACTACGCAGCCATTTGAAATACAGTTTATCGTGCAGTTTTTTTATGCAACATCAAATAAAAACAAAAGCTGTTATATTTTCACGTGATTTCTTTATTATAAATTATTGAATTGGGTACTTGCAACTCGAAAGAAAGTGAAATGCCTAATCATGTAAGATTTAAACTTATAAGTAATTGGATGCCTGTAAATGACGACACGTGTGTGGGTCGAACCTGATCGATTTCTGAATCGAAAAATTTCGTGATTTACCTACAATGACATCCCTTACAGCTATTCAATTGCCTTATCACGCATTGTGAAGCCATGAGTGAGGACGACCAAGCTAGTCACCAGAGGCAACTTCCACTTAATTGAATGTTATTAGAAGAGATTTTAAGCCCAGTGAACCAGTCTTTTTTATGTATTAAATAAATTCATTGTGTGTTGTTGTTTACAATCCCAGCTGGGATAGCGGAACTATACCAGACCCATGAGGCCGTGAGTCTTCAAAAAATCGAGGAAAAGGAGAGGTCTCTCAAGAACCTCTTCCATGGTGAAATCCAGGCAATCATGGTGAGGACTAGCCTTGCTGGGGTTGCACTTTTTACAAGTTGGAAAAAGTTTAATTTGTCCACTGAAAGTGAAACCAATTCATTGTGTTTAGGTCAGCAGTAAAATTAACAAGTTTTACCTCTCTCCATTGGCAAATACTGGAATGGTCTTGGTTTCCCTTTCCTGTTCTCATCTCGAAGTTCGACGTAAACAGATACAGGCTGTTGTAGATTCTCATTATGGTAGCGAGGGATCCGGAATGAAATGGCTACTTGTTTATGAATATCGCTGGGATGAAATTCAGCAGGACTCTCCCATATTACATTGGAATCATGCACTTCATAAAACCAAATTTGTATGCTCTCTAAGCAATAAATAAATGAAAATTCATTACAAAAGTTATAGCACAATGCAGTGAACTTCAAGTTCAAATAATTTGTTGTCTATTCACAGGTGAATTTAAAAAAGGGTTGCAGTGATTACTAATTAATTTATAATTCTTTTTGTTGTTTTTGTCTCTAATGGCACTTGCCTATACCAGCAAGCCTACTTAGTGAAACCAAGCAAATTTAAGGCAGAGGGTGCGCTTCTTGCTTTTCAGTGGCGCCATCTATGGCCAAGAATATATCTTCAGTCCCATATACGTAACAGCCAGTTTACAGGGCTGACCCATTCATACATCCATTCAGTCCTCCACAGATCGTAAGTTCTAACTGAACCAGAGAACAATCAATCTCCAACGCGGTATCCCCTGGGGTATTAATTTGTTATGGGAACTTGGAGTTTCTGACTCAACAGACTTAACGCGCACCAGTCACCACTTATTACATGGCGATCCTTCGACCGGTGATCGAACTCACAATCTCTTGAACATGAGCCCAATAATTAATTTTAATTAATATAATAAAAATAGATTTACATTTCATTACATTATAAAACACATTTTTGAAATAGAAGAATAGTCAGCTCTGGGTATACGCTTTAATTTTTGTCAGAAATTACGCTATGAAGTTGGAAGTGTCTCTTAACATTTAAAAAAGAAATGTGTACATTTAAAAGCTAGAAAAACTGGAATAAGCATGAGTCTGCAAATGAGAGAGGCATACAACCGATTTGAGTAAGGCAATGTGCTTGGTAGCACCAGGCCACAAGTGTCTGACAATACAATATTTGTTGCCTCCTCTTTTACCACACTGTTAGAATTTTCATTCTAAAATTATGGTAAAATAACCGGCAGCAGTTAGTCCATCCGCTTAACAGTAAAGTTTCCGGTGAATAATATTTTTTACCTTTATGGTTTAGAAACCGTTTACAGCTTGCATGGTTATAAAACCATGAATACAAAACGATACGATTTCATTACATTATAAAACACATTTCTGAAATAGACGAATAGTTAGTTCTGGGTATATGCTTTAATTTTCGTCTGAAATTACGTTATAAAATTGGAAGTGTCTCTTAACATTTAAAAAAGAAATGTGTTCATTGAAAAGCTAGAAAAACTGGAATAAGCGTGAGTCCGCAAATGAGAGAGGCATATAACCAATTTGAGTAAGGCAATGCGCTTTATAGCACAACCAATTTGAGTAAGGCATATATTTTTTACTTTTATTTGAGTAAGGCATAGTATTTTTTACTTTTATGGTTTTAAAACCGTTTACAACTTGTATGGTTATAAAACCATGACTACAAAACGATACGGTTTTGTAACCATTTATAACTAGCATGGTTTCAAAACCATAAAAAAGAAATTTAACAAGACATAGGACTAGGTTTTTCGTTAGGTAATAGACTCTGGAAAGTCAAGGACACAGGTAACTCTTTTCATGTGTTGTTGGGAGTGGAGGAAATATTGTAGTGTCTCCAGTTTTGTCGGTCATGAGACTGATAGATTAGCACTCTCAGCTATAATATAGTTATTATATATATAGTTACTTAGCNTGCTGTCAATTCATCGGAGAATTTAAAAAAGGGCTGTAGTGTTTTCTAATTAATTTATAATTGTTATTGTTGTTTCTATTAACACTTGCCTACACCAGCAAGCCTGCTTTGTGAAACCAAGCGAATTTAAGGCAGAGGGTGCGCTTCTTGTTTTTCGGTGGTGCCATCTATGGCCAAGAATATATCTTCAGCCACACACACGTAACAGCCTGTTTACAGGACTGGCCCATTCATACATCCATTAATTCATCCACAGATCGTAAGTTTTAACTGAACCAGAGAACGATCAATCTCCAACGCGGTATCCCCTGAGGTATTGATTTGTTATGGGAACTTGGACTTTCTAACTCAACATACTTAACGCGCACCAGTCACCACTTATTACATGGCGATTCTTAGACCAGCGGTGATCGAACTCACAATCTCTTGAACATGACCCCAATAATTAATTTTAATTAATATAATAAAAATAGATTTACATTTTATTACATTATAAAACACATTTCTGAAATAGAAGAATAGTCAGCTCTGGGTATACGCTTTAATTTTTGTCAGAAATTACGCTATGAAGTTGGAAGTGTCTCTTAATATTTAAAAAAAAATGTGTACATTAAAAAGCTAGAAAAACTAGAATAAGCGTAGTCTGCAAATGAGAGAGGCATACAACCGATTTGAGTAAGGCAATGCGCTTGGTAGCACCAGGCCACAAGTGTCTGATAATACAATGTTTGTCGTCTCCTTTTTTACCACACTGCTAGAATTTTCATTCTAAAATTATGGTAAAATAACCGGCAGCAGTCAGCCCATCCGATTAACCGTAAAGTTTCCGGTAAATAATATTTTTTACCTTTATGGTTTTGAAACCGTTTACAACTTGTGTGGTTATAAAACCATGAATACAAAACGATGCGGTTTTGTAACCATTTATAACTAGCGTGGTTTCAAAATCATAAAAAAGATATTTAACAAGACATAGGAGCTAGGCTTTTCGCTAGGTAATAGGCTCTGGAAAGTCAAGGACTCAGGTAACTCTTCATGTGTTGTTGGGAGTGGAGGAAATATTGTGGTGTCTCCAGTTTTGTCGGTCATGAGACTGATAGATTAGCACTCTCAGCTGTAATATAGTTATTATATATATAGTTACTTAGCTATAATATATTATACTGCTTCAAGAAACAACGTGACTTCATTAAGTGGGATGAAATTCTGGTTGCTTAACAGCATTAGGTGAAAGCAGTTAATAAATAGTCTTTCTACAGTTAGCAGTTTGATTATCACCTTATTTACGGTTACTTGACAGTTTTGTTTGAATTTGGTAAAATAGCAAATAAATAAATTGTTATTTAACTATTTTTTCAGAGACATTTCTAACAGTGCAAAATTATAAACAATATTTATGTGAACTAATTTAGAGAAACAGCAATTAATTTTGCTTAGTAATCATGACAATGCATTGCAAAATTTTTTTATTCCCATATATTTTTATAAAGAAATATACTTGGAATTTCGAAAGTAGTTCAGTTACCTTTAGGAACACGGTCACAAAGAAGTATAACTTCAGTTCCACCAGTTGCAGGAGCTGAATAATGACTAAATTTCATGATAGTCAAATCCGATATGGATTCTGTGAATGATAAAATTTTAATGAGAAAAAACATAAGAATAATTAATGAATTAAAATTAAACCAGAATTTTCTTACTTCTATCATAAATTGGTTCAGAAACAACTGGAGGGACTCGTATCTTATATTTGCCTTCTGAATCTTTAAGAAGTACTTGAAAACATAAACGCAAAATATTCAAATCAATATCCTTCGTATAATCAAATCCAGCTAAATTGAATAAAATACCCTTCGTTATTTCAATTCTGAAAGTATGTATTAAGAATAAACAAATTATGCTTACTTACTACAACTATACATTAACTAGCTATTGATGTAAAATTAAATAAATATGTTTAACAACATGTTATATAATGTTTTGATAAAGCTAGCACAATTTTTTTTTTTTTATGGAAAATCACAATACTTTACCTCATTTTTCATGCAATCGCAATAGTTGTCTAGGCACTTATTATAACAATTTCGTTTCAATTCTAGCGATATTTTATCACCAAACATATGAGTCATTAATTAATTTTTGCTTGAGAACTATTTTCGACACAAAATTTTAGTTTTGGAAATTAGTTAAAATCACTTGGTGATACGTTTTTCACTTCTATCACTTGGCACTAAGTGAAAATTCACCTGGTTCAAAGTGATTTCTCCTTATTTCTGAAACTAATAAATTTTCTTGGATATAAAATAGCACTGGAAAATTTTTTTTGTAGAATTTATATAAATATTTGATCTTGTCTTGCTTATTTCTAATTCTAGAAACGTCTTTCAGCAAAAAACGTCTTTAAAAACGTCTTTCGAAGGAATATAGCACTGGATAATATATTTTTTGTTGCATTTATATAAATACTTGATCTTGTCTTGCCTATTCCTTATTCCCGAAACTAAAAACGTCTTAGGATGGAAAAATAGCGCTTCAAAAGAATTTTTTGTTCCATTTATATAAATACTTGATCTTGCCTTGCCTATTCCTTATTCTCGAAACTAAAAACGTCTTAGGATGGAAAATAGCACTTCTAAAGAATTTTTTTGTTGCATTTATATAAATTCTTGATCTTGCCTTGCCTATTCCTTATTCTCGAAACTAAAAACGTCTTAGGTTGGAAAATAGCGCTTCAAAAATTTTTTTTTGTAGCATTTATATAAATACTTGATCTTGTCTTGCCTTGCTTATTCCTTACTCTCGAAACTAAAAACGTCTTTGAATGAAAAATAACACTGGAGAAATTTTCTTTTTGCTGCATTGATATAAATATAGTTTGCTTATAGGAAGAACTCCCCTCACCACGAAGTCTAAGATAGTCAGCTGCTATGGAAACAAGAAATAGCGCATTTCAAAGAGAAAAGCTTCTTTCTCGTCTGATTCCCCAGTTCTTATCGACCTAGGCCAAAACATATCTTAAATAATGATACTTGTAATAGTTATACCTCGTAACCATAGTCACGGCCACTATTCCAGACGAATGGCTAGGGGAGTTCTTTACACAGACAAACTATACTTGATCTTGCCTGGCCTATTCCCCGTTCCTGAAACTATGGATGGAAAATAGCACTGGAGAACAAATTTTTTGTTTGTATTAATATAAATACTTGATCTTGCTAAAATCAGGTATAGGGTTTTCAAATCTGAAATTAGTTTTGAAAGCTATAGAGTAAAAACTATAGATGTTTTTTAAAATAGCATTTTTAGTTTACGCTTTGTCAAAATATATAAATTTAAAAACGTTATATATAACAGGGGGATTGCGTAAATGTTGCAACAAACTTAAAGGGAGTTAGATGATATCATCAAAATTCAAATTCTATAGAAATCCATGCTTAGAATTCTCGTCGTACGTGGATAGGGGAGTTTTGCCCTTTAGAACCTGTTCAGAGAGATACGGTTCTTTGAAGGAAAGTGTTTCTAACAACGTACGACGACATTTCACGGTTACGGTTACTATGCGATTACAATTCTGATGACGTGTTCTAACTCCCCTAGAAGGCTATGCCTCAACTATTAACTCCCGGGTATGCCCTAACAACTAGTCAACCGTTATAACTGAATAGATTAATTATTTTTTTTTGACACGGAATTTCAATAAAAATAATAAAATGCTGCGTAGAAAGTTTCCTAATAATTTACTTCCAAAAGGATCCACAAGATATTTCTCTCTCAGTTTCAGGGATTTTGGAATGTCTTGTTTTTTCACAGAAAGGATGCCGAGATTTGGAAAGCTAAAGGAAATAAAAAAATAAGTATGTAACTACAATGTTCATCTAAGCAATACGGTTGATACATAAGGATAACTTATTTTAAAAAGCTAACAAAATGTTCAGTGCGTAAAATAAAAAAAAAAGTAATAATAACTTTTGATCTAATGATCGGATTTTAACGAACTATTACTCAATCTTAATGATGTGAGGGTCTAACCTAAAATACGTTAATTAATTAAAGCAGATGATATTTTAGGTTACAAAATCAGATACAAAAGCCAGAATTCACGTGTAAATTCTTGTTCCACAAAAATGCGGACAGCTGCAATCTAGTATCCCCTTGGTGTTGACTTTACTCTAGTATAATTCGATATATCTCGAAAATTCTTTAAGGGAAAAAAACATTTTTACACGCAATGAAATTTTTTGTTTATTCAAAGATAATTCCACATTTATTCAAAGATCATTCCCTCAGCTACCGAAAGGTAATCTAAATAGTTGTCTATTCTTCTTCTATTATTTTCGATCAAATAATTTCTTAGTTATCAAATTTTAAAAAGAAAAGTTGTATTTTCTGAAGAACTATTGCATGTCTTTCAATTAAAAATTTTTTTTGTCCGTTATCAAATTAAACAATAAATCATTATTAAAAATAATTTTTTTGTATGAAATTGTCCTTGGATAAGCGAATTTTAAAATTGTGAACAAAAATTTTCCAATTCGCATCAAAAAGTTCTCCAAACTTTCGAATGCTCTCTTGTCCATGTTATAAGATAAATCCAAATTGCAGCACAAGGTCTTATTTTTGAGGTCAAAAGCCTGAATTCATCGGGAAAAAAGTTTTGCTTATTCATAGAAAATACGTTAGATGTCATCATCATCGTAGTTGGCTAGACAGCCCAACGTGAGCCAATGCCTTCCTCTGAAGATTTCTCCATGACGACATCCGATTTATCTTTGATCTCCAATACTTTTCATTAATTGCAAGACAATCGGACTTCCCTGAGTCAGCCCATCTCATCTGTTGCCTTCCCTACTTTCTTGTGTCAGTGGGTCTAAAAAGCAGTATCTTTTTTATTGTATTGTCATCACTCATTCGTGGGCCATTCTATTCATTCTATTTATTTTCATGTATTTAATATTATCAGGTTCTTTATAAATCTTGTACAGTTCAAAGTTAAATCTCCTTCTCCAGTTATTGTTTTCCTTTACACCACCAAGTATACCCCGCAAAATCTTTCTCTCAAATATTGCGATNCATTTTTTTTGACTATTATTAAATAAAACGATAAAAATTATTTACAGAAAATATTTAGTTATATTTTTCATAGAATATCTTCGTTAAATGAATTTTATAATTATGAGCAGAAGATTTTCAATTCACTTAAAAAGTTCTTGAGATATAGCGAAGCATGTAAAAATAATATTAACATTAAGGGGTCCAAAATTTGAACCGCTTTCTTAACCGAACTATTGGGACCATATTTTCCAGGCTGCGGGTATCCCCAATCCTCTGGGATTAGAAATCTAAATCCTTCGATAAAAAGGTGTATTTATTCAGATAAAGATGCGTTTATGTGTCTGCACTAATTAATTAGTATATTTAAGGTCACACCCTCAAACCATTAAGATTGAGTCTTAGAACGTGAAGAACCGATCATTAGATCAGAAGATATTCAGGGTAGTCCGTTTTATCTTTTGCGCACTGTATATTTGCTTTACATGTAAAAGAAGTCGTTACAAAATGAAACTAAAGATGAAAGGAAACACAACAATGAAGCTTTTTTTAGAAAACTTAGAAGACACGAACTATTGATTTGTTTGGAAGTCAGATTTTCGATAGGTTGCTCATTGCCAAGGCTGAAAGAAGTTATGACGAGACAGCTGGAATCACGAGAAACGGTACAGCCTCATGCGTTTTTGAAAAGTTGTCATAACTTGTAAGAGTTCTTTTCGGCTGTTCGATATGATAGTTACTAAATCATGTGACATTACTTTCCTATTTTGATTATTATAAAAATCCTATTAATGATTAAAACTTTATTTTTTAATAACTTCAACTGAAGATATCAAGAATTCTTAAATATATATGTGACAAAAATTTCAGTAAAAAAAGTTTCATTCCGAAAAAATGGAGAAAGTAGGAAAGTAGGTCGTAGGTAAAAATGACAATAATTTCAATTATTCATCAAAACTGACACGCTTTTTCGGACAACTCAATACAACTATCCCTTAAAAAATTTTGAGGTGTTTTTGAGGTTTATTTGAGGTTGTTTTGAGGTGTCAAGGTTGATTTAAGACGAGCCAGAGTTTGTTTTGAGATTGTTGAAAATCTACTTTAGAGCAACCAGAGTTATTTTTGAGGTGCACAGGCCACTTTTTTTACACTTCAAGCGAATAACTATTTTTGAGGTGTGAATAATTTCGCCCAACTCCAACTAAAAGTATTGCTGAGTTACATACGAGGATGATTTTCTGAGGTGCAAATAAGGTTGAAATTGAGATTTATTGATGAGGTTACTTTTGGTGCAAAACATAACCTCATTTTCTACCTCACGTGTATTTTTTTACATCTGTCAACCTCAAAAAACTTCAAAAACACCTTACTTTTTTAAAGGTATTTCTTGTAAGTATTTTTTTAAAAAAAAGTTTTTCTTACCTGCATGTCATGGTAGAGTTTTTTATAATTTTACAATATATCCCTCTTCTTTCTTCGTCTTCTAATTTATGATAAGCTTCTTTCTTAAGGTTCTCTACTATTTTATTAGGATGAGGCCGATACGGAGGTCCATCTTTAGTCACACAAGATACGACTACAGCAAAAGAGCCTTTGCAGTTCATGACCTAAATTAAAATAATAAAATTGTTATAAATATATCTAGTTTATGCTGTAAAATTTTATTGGAATAATGTGACAACTCCAGTTAAATGAAATTAGCGTCACTTACATGTTCAAGCAAGTTTTTTCAATTTTTTAAAAAATAAGTAAATTTTTATTTTATTTCTGTTGCCTAACAGAGGGCACCAAAAGTTAAATTCGAACTCAAAAAGATACACGTATAAGACTTCAGGACTTTGAATCTCAAAATGAATAAAAATGAGGTTGGCCTACTATATTTATGTATGGCCTTTACACGTTTCAAGATCCTCTATAGTTAGTATGAAGTTTTAGTTTCATGTTTATCTTTTCGCAATTTTAATTTATACTTTGCAAGTTAATTTATGTACAATGCTTAAAGTATAGGCAGGAATGTTTTGTTAAAGTAATCATAGCGGGTGGCTTTTCTTGATTCCACTTTGATAACTTCAAGATATTCTGAAGATCAAACCATAGAGCTGTAATACAAATAGAACAAGACCGCTGTTGTATTTCACTATCTCTCTTTATTTTAGGCATCAGAGTTCCCTCTCTTTCGGGATTTTTGGCGGAGAAAGAAGCGCGTCGTGTGAAGGTTGAGTTGAGTTTTTTGTAGATTCGCGTTTTGTACTTTTACAAGCAATGGAGGAAAGTTAAAAGCTTCAAGAATGATTAGATTTGCGGAACAGTTAAATATTGGATTATTTTTTGTTAAAATTTAACTAAATTAAGAACTGTTTTAAAAGTACATTTTTTTTAATATGTAAAAACTGTACAAAATTGCTTACATTTTTATAAAATAATATTTTTTTGAATTGTTTTAAAGATTGTAAAAATGTATATTTTAATAAAACTTATAACAATCTGATATAGTATTTTTCAGAAATCTCTGAAAATATTTAGTAATAGTCTTGTATAAAAATGTATCAATATTGAAGTTTATAAATGTTCTTAAATTTTAATCTAACCTAGATTTTACAATAGTGTCTGTCAACTATTATAATCTTGAAATATCATGAATATATTTTCAGGTATTTAATTTTTTTTAAAAACCCTTTTAAGAAATGGTTTTAGAGATGTCAAAGAGTAGAAAAATAAAATAAAAACTGGAAATTAAAAAAAGTTTCATCACCTTAAAAAAACTTTAAAATAAATGAGAAAAAAATCCGCTTTATTCTTTGAAACTTTCCTATTTTACTTTGCACATGCTTCCTATTAACTTTGCACAGGCGATGATAAGCTTAACCAGCTTTAATACCACTGCTAGCACTCTAAATTTTTTCATGCATTCTAGACGGTTTCATCAAAGAACTTATGATTAAGTATTAAAAACTTTGTCTTATTTATCGAATAGTCTTGTAATAATATTCTCATTGAAGCAAATTCATTTTATGAACTAAATTATTATTCAAAATGATTTTGCACATGACTGTAAAAAAGTTTTTCTGCAAAGTTCACCTCGTGAAAGTAATGTTGTAATGACTGCATTTCGAAAGAAATTTGTAGTCACTAAGTTTAAAAATTTTATTTTTGAAATTGCTGTCAACTACGCTTGTAATGAAGTAGTTGTGATTGTGGTTAAATCCGAAAATTGCAATGATAATCTATCAAAATGATAAGGTTTAAATTTTATCATAAAACAATTAAAAAAATCGGGAACTAACTGAACCAAATCTGTGTTAATGCAATTAAATATTTTTGGATCAATCAATTGAATACTATAAAATATTTAGTAAATACACCAAAATTGTATCGAAAATACACCAAAATATGAATACACCAAATACACCTAAATATACACCAAAAAATACACCAAATAATGGAATTATTTAATTAAATATTTCTGGATCAATCAATTGAATACTATAAAATATCTAGTTAATACACCAAAATATGAATACACCAAATACACCAAAATATATTAAAAATACACCAAATAATGGAATTATTTAATTAAATATTTTGAGGTTATTCAATTGAATACTATAAAATATCTAGTTAATACACCAGTATTGCCCCGAAAATACACCAAATATACCAAAATATATTAAAAACACACCAAATAATGGAATTATTTAATTAAATATTTTGAGATCATTCAATTGAATTCTATAAAATATCTAGTTAATACACCAACATTGCACCGAAAATACACCAAATATATTAAAAATACACCAAATCATGGAATTATTTAATTAAATATTCTGAGATCATTCAATTAAATATGATGATGGGAAGTGATATTGATGAGAATTTCGATGATTGAATATGAGATTTTCAGATTTTAATATAATATTCAAAAATCTCTTTAACGTCAAGGAACATAAAATGATCGAAGAAATCGTGAAGGATGGTAAGCGAAGTGAGCAGGGAGCAGAGTTCTTAGTACTTACATAAATATAAAAGATATTTATATAAAAGCACAATCTTTAAAAGAATTTAAAATTAATTTAGTACTATTGAGTTACCTGTATTTTTGGAAAAGTTCTTTTTTCGTATGTCGAATTAATACCAACTAGGTTACCAATGCAACCACATCGGTCTTCATATTCACGTTCATAGCGAAACCTAAAGTTGCTTGGAGATGGTTGTTCTACTATACGAACATATGGTGGATCCATTAATTGTGCCTTTTTTATCACTTCCTCTGGAATATAAGAGTTATATAATACCTTTGAAGAGCAGTATCATAATTTATGTCTGTAAAAAATCAGTTAATCTTCATTAAATAAATATGAGATTGAATATACCGTTAAATAGAGCCGTGATGGCTCAGGGATAGAGCTTTCGCCTTCCAATGAGGTGAACCGGGTTCGAATCCCCGCAATGGCTGGTGGATACGAATTTCGCATCCGACTTGCACCGACCACAATGCTGACGTAAAAAGTATCCTCAGTGGTAGTGGTAGATCATAGGTTAGAGTCCCCTCGACGTCAGGCTAACCGTAGTAGGTTTTCGTGGTTTTCCTCTCCATTTATTCACACTATTGTATACAATGTGAAAACTGTGGTGTAATATCTCTCCAAATATGATGTTATAGTCATGGTGGCTTAGGGGATAGAGCAATCGCCTTCCAAAGAGGTGAAGCGGGTTTGAATCCCAGCTATGGCTGGTTCACTCGAATATCGCATCCGGCTCGCACCAACCACAGTGCTGAAGTAAAATATCATAAGTAGTTGACGGATCATAGGTTAGAGTCCCCTTGCCGTCAGGCTAACCGTGGGATGTTTTCGTATTTTTCCTCTCCATGTAACGCAAATGCAGGTTAGTTCCATCAAAAAGTCCTCCACGAAAGCAAATTTCTCCCAGCACTTGATCCACGAGTTCCCTTGTCTTCTGGATTGGGTTCAAAATTACCAGGCTACAGAGTTGAATATTAGTAGTCGTTAACCCAAAAATTGGGTCAGCTGTGCATCGACGGTTAAAATATAAAATAAAATACCATTAAATACAGGGTGTTCCTTAATCACCATCTGTACTACTGCCTGTCTAACTAAAGATCTCTCTTCGCCAGTTGTCTTAATCACTATGGGAACTGTTATTGTGGTTGAATTATTTCATATAGTTTGTCTAAAGCAAGAACTCCCCTAGCCATTCGTCTGGACCAGTGGCAGTGATTGTGGTAAAGAGGTATAACTATTTTAAGGTGGGGTGTAGGATCATTGCTTAGAACAGGTTTTGGTTTGTGTCGGAGAAAGAAAGGGAATCTTTTGCTTCGGTCTATTGTGCTAGCCCTAGAGTGAAGAGAAGCTGCCCTCCCTAAAATGCGCTATTCTTGCTTCCCATAACAGCAGACTGCCTCAGACTTCGTGGAGGGGGGAGTTCCTACAGTAGACGAACTATATGGGAGTGTGGGATAAACATTTTGGACAAATTTTGACTCGGGTCGCAAAAGAAGCATCAAAAGCTCCCCTATTTGAAATGTGCTTTGTCTTGTATCTGTAGTAGCAGACAGCTCCAGACTCTGCGGCGAGAGAAGAGTGGTTCTGTTAGACAGACAATAGATAGTATATATTTTTTTAGAATAGAATCACTATCAAAATGGAAGTAAAAAATATACCAACTGAGTTGAAAATTAATATTTAAGCTAAGAAAAAATTATCATGCTTAGATAAATCACTAGTCAGGAAAGTGGGACAAAGAACATCCAAAACCCGACAAAACTTAAAGCAAGTAATTAAAGTTAAGTTATAATCTAAGTGAGTTTATTTTAAATTTAAATTCATACGTTTAAAAGTTTCTTCAATTTCATATAAATTTCCATACTCATCAAATAAATATAATAAAATTAATTACCGTAGAAAGAGGCTTTTTGAATATTTCTTTTTAAAAAACTCGTAATAATAAAATAAAAAAAATAAATAAATAATGATTTATTTTTTATTTTCTAAGTATTCATGAAGTCTCAGGAAAAGTTAAATGTAATCACATGTCAGTTAAATAATTTATTAGCTAAACTAAGGTCTTGCCTAAAGAGGATCATGCATAAATTAAAATTCACAAGTTCGCAAGTTTCTTCGAATTAATATAAATTTTTATACTCATTAAATAAATTTAATGAAAATACTCATAAAATAAATAAATACTCATAAATTTATTTAATGAAAATACTCATAAAATAAATAAATACTCATAAATTCATTTAATGAAAATTCTCATTAAATAAATTTAACGAAGAAATACGCTATTTGAATATTTTGTTTTAAGAAACTCATAATAATAATAATAAAAAACATGGTAGAAATAATGAATTATTTTTGGTTTTAGAATCTATTTAAGTATTCAGGAATATTTAGTAAAAATTAAATACATGCATAATTTATTAGTTAAACAAAGGTGACTTACAGAAAGTGAACCATGTTTAAATTTAAATTCGCAAGGGTTAAAAGTTTCAACGATTTCATACAAATATTTATACTCATTAAACAAATTTAATGAAATTAATTACTGAAAAAACAGGCTTTTTAAATAATTTTTTAAAAAAACTCATAATAATAAAAAATGGAATAAATAATGAATTAGTTTTGTTTTAAAAACCTAAATATTCTTGAAAATTCAAGAAAAATTAAATGTATGTATAATGATGTGTTATTATTATTTATTAGTTAAATTATATTAATATTATTAATTATTTATTAGTTAAAAACTAAGGTGACTTACCTAAAGCTTACCACGTTAAAATTTAAATTTACACACTTACAAGTATTTTCGATTTCATATAAATTTTTATGCTAATTTAATAAATTTATAAAAATTATTGTAGAATGCTAAGATAAGTCCGAAGAAATAGGATTTTCGAATCCATTTTTTTAAAAACTCATAGAGATGAAAAAAATAAATAAAAATAATGACAAAGAAAAATAAATAATGAATTATTACACAAGTATTACATCATAAATGAGTTTTCATACATCATAATTTATTTTATAAGTATTCATGTTATTCTCTACTTACCTTATAAGTATTCATGAAGATTCAGGAGAAATTTAATTTTATGATATGATGCGTCAAAATTTATTTGTTAAACTATGGTGACTTACCTAAGGCTGACCAGGTGATTGAATCAGAGTCTATCATTTCTGTTTTCAGAATTTGTTTGCTTCACTTTTCAAGCAATACAAGATGGATATGATAGATGTAAATTCTTCTCTCCACTACTAAAAAAAAAAAAGAACTATTAAATTTTTAAATTTAAGGCTTATACGTAAAGCAGATAAAAGTGTAAACTATTTTTCTACACATTTTAAAATTGGGAAGGAGTGATGTGATAAAATATGAAGACTAAGATAGTTCATCAACTTTTTATTTATTTATAAAACAAATAAATTAACAAATTAAAGGCTTATGGTGATCCTTTAGAAATATGACAATTTGGAAAAATTTTTTTCTTCGAATTTAAGGTCTTCAAAACAATCAAATTTTTTTTTAAATATTTATTTAGTTACATTTATTAATATCTTACACACAGCAGTGTAGTTTATTGACATTTGTTCATGGAAAAAAAATCAAATAGAAATTCTCCAAATTTTGAATACCAGGAAAATGACATATTAGCTTAGAAGTTAAGAAAACAGTCATTCTAAGCTAATAGTAAGTAATTCAACTTAAAAAAATCAAAAAGACAAAGTTGACAAGTAAATTTTAACTTTTTATGTAAATAAATTCCAAAAGTATTTATTGTGAACAATTTCAACATACCGTTTCTTCTCGGCTTCTCGTTTTTTTCTCAGTTTATTTTTCCATGATTGTTTTTAGGTCCCATGTTGTAAAATAACCTAATAAAATTAATTTTATAATAATTTGCACCGGGAATTTTTTTATTACATTATTTAAATTTATAATATTTCAAATCATATTATTTTACAATTTTATTACTTTTTCAATTTATACACCCAAGTAGAATTTAGAGACTATGACAGAATAAAATTGTAGAGTGATGTTCTTAGCTTATCCTTTATATTTTAACTATCCGTGTTTTGAAAAAAAAAAAAAAAAAAAAAAAAAAAAAAACCTCAAGCCTTTGCTTTAGATGGACGAGGAATTGTTTCAATTAATTCTTTTACCCACTGTAGAAAGAATCAAAAATGTTTTTGTTGTGCTGTTGATGTGCACAGAATAAAATTGTGTAAAATAATCAATCATTCAACAAATAAATAACTTTGATTACATACAAGCATATTACAATCTTACATAAACTGGATATTAGGTAAACATTTGCTTTCCCTTGCACATTAGACTGTTTAAAAAATTTTCTGGTGACTGGCATTCATAAGCCAGGAAAATGACAGCCAGGATAATGACAAATTTGCTATTTTACAGCATTTAATTTTACTTTTATTTAACATTTCGGCCTAAAACGTTTACATTCCGCAGAAAACAACAAGATTTCTTGAAATAACTCAGGTAAATCTATGTAGTTTAGGTTATTAATGATTTCAAGAAGACAAGAAAATGACAACACAAGAACCTATTCACCTTGTAAAATTTTTTAAAATATATTTTGAACCAGAAAGTTGGTTCTTTATTCCTGAAATATGACATGTTCTGTCAGAATGGTATTCTAATCAATTTCTCAACCCAAGATATTGATTGCTGGTGCTATCTATTTCGGCTATAAATTACTAAAAAAAAGTCGCCTAGAAAATGATTGATTTTCATGTGACAAGCAAATTAATAACAGGAAAAATTATTTTCATCAAAGTATTTGGAAATAATACCCTCTGCATATATTCTAGAAATGCTTACAGCGGTTGAGATAAAAAGAATTTAGAAAAATTTATGGGAAGTTTTGAAGCTAGTTGTTATTGGAAATATGTCTGTGACATACCAGGAAAATTACATTTTGAAATTCACTTAAATTACACAAAACAGTCAATGCTAATGCAAAGTCATTTTAAAGTGCTAACAGCATTTATTAATTTTTTTCAGAAAAAAGTTATTTTAGTAGTATAGTATTAGGTCTTGGAGCAAAAGACTGTCAATTGTCAAATTTCGTGAGAATCACCCTTATATATATGCAAATCACATATTTTCTTACAAAAATTAAACAAACTGAAACGAGAAACCTAACTTTGTTTTTAGAAATGAATTTCTAATTTAATTTTTAGCGTAATTTCAAAATATATTAACAATTAAGACTGTGTAATGTAATGCTTTTCCTTCTAAACACATAAACACTAAACACAAACACTTTCTAACCACTAAAAACACTTATTTATATATATTTTTTTAAAGTTATTCATTTTAAATGCCTTATTTCCTTTGTATCTGTTCAAAAAAAGAAAACTTGTGGGAAAAAATGCATAAATAATGTTTTTCAGCAGATTTTTTACCACGAAACAAACAATTTGATCTCACTATTTTAAGGCTTATGTTCAATGCAACTGAATCTTTTTTGAACAAAAAAATTTTCAAAGCCAGGTTTAAGTTTATTTTTATAAGAATGTGATACAACTTCCAAATGCAGTAATTAGGCTAAACTATTATTCTCTTAGAATTATTTTAAAATTTAAGTGCCAATTTAAAAAAAAAATTCTTGAGAAGATTCCTGGATACATTTCTTGAAAAAACATCGAATGAATCATTTTTATAGGGTATCATTAAAAATCGCAATTTCAGTTTCTTTATAAGCCACAAAATGGCCGAAATTAATCAACAATAGGTGAACCACTTCAACTAAAATGCTATTTAAAAATATAAAAATCTTGTTTAATTGCTAATTAAATTAAAAAAAATAATAAGACATTTTTCTACATGCGTTATTGAAGGTAATCACATCTATCAGTTTTTGAATGTAGTTTAAAGCACAAAAGCTAACATTATTATGTGAAAGTTGACAATTTTATAATTCAAAACAGCAAAACACAAAGGAAAACTTACTTTAACTTTGCGAGGCTAAAATTCAACAATATAATACGAAATTAATTTATTAAAATTAATAGAAAGGAACAATTTCAAAGCAAATACATCTTGATTTCATTATTATCTCCTTATTTAGGAATTTATTTTGAAAAATAAAAAAAAGGAAAAGGAAATGAACGATTCCTTAAAACACCTTGCAGTAAACATAAAAATTCAAATAAATCTATAGAGTGTTTATTTAAATTGATCCTAACAAAATATTAGAATAAAATAAATGGAACCGATATATTAACGTTCATATTTACATAACTATTTTCCAAAATGAAACGTTAGGCTTATCTTTCATAAAAGTGATAAATTGATTTATTGTATACTGATATCTGATTAAAAATTAAAGTAAATAAATTAATAGATAAGAGAAAAATACTTAAATAAATATATTCTAAGCATTTTCTTATAATTTAAGGGATGCACATGAGGCGTAATATTTACACATTATATCAAATTAGAAAAAAAGAAAGAAAGAAAATGAGAATGAGAGAGATTGAATGCAGAGACTGACAATATAACAGAATAATGAGAATGAAATAGAACAATGAGAATAAAATAGAATAATGAGAATAAAATAGAATAATGAGAATAAAATAGAATAATGAGAATAAGATAATATTTTTATAAATTTATACTTAGTAAAAATAGCTCATTGTGTTTTCATTCTGCCGATGGATATACAATATTTATAAAAATCCAAACTATAGTAACTTACGTGTTGTTACAAAGTGAATTAACTCCGAAAACATAAACGTAAATGTTTTGGAACAAGTGCAAATTTGATTTAAATAGAATAATGAGAATAAAATTGAATAATGAGAATTAGATAATATTTTTATAAATTTATACTTAGTAAAAATCATATATGGCAACGTTACTTTTAAAAAGTAACGAGTAAAAGTACAAGTATTTTTAAAAAAAGTAACGAGTAAAAAGTAAAAAGTTCTTATTTTAAAAAGTAACGAGTAAAAAGTACAAGTAAAAGTACAAGTACTAA